AGTTAGCACCGATTAGTCAGCTTGGCTAGATCATATACTTCCTCGCAGCCTGTTCGACGATGTCTTCCCGCCAAGGACGATAACCGAGAAGATCGGCCAGTGGACCCAGTGGCAAATCCGTACCTCATCGTCGTCGTGTTCCTGTGGGTGGTTGTCCGTCTCTTCGGCGGCGGCGGCGGTGGAAAGACATGAAATACCCCACAAGTACCGCGACCATGAATACGGTAATGTGAACGCCCACGATCGCTACATTGTCGATGCCTCCACGGTGTTGATATAGCCAGGCGGTTCACTAGCGGCAAGGATGGGAGGCGCAATGCAAGTGGACTAAATTGGGACTTATGTGTAATATAAATATTTTTAACTAAGTAAATATAGTTCATGGGTCAAATATGTAATAATTCCACGTTAATGGTGATTACAATGCACATTAAATTTAAATAATGTACACTAGTATTAAGTTGATGGAACAATATTGCGTGCATATATGCACATTAAAAAAATGCTCACACTGTATAATGCACAATAGTGTTAGACAAGATGCACATGACGGTCAGGATGCATAATAACGACCGAAAGCTGTATAATGCACAATAATGTTAGACACGATGCACATTAATGACGGTCAGGATGCACAATAACGACCGAAAACTAACAGAACTAGAATCCTTTGTTCCAATTTTTAAATGTCGGTTTGATTAATTGTTTTAACTTTTAAAATTTTAGTCATAACAATTTGATGTTGGCTTTATTTTTAAAAAATAACTGAACTGACTGAACTATATAAAAATTATATATATATGTATATATATATATGTATTATGTCTTAAAAAAATAGAAGTTATTAAATAAAATATTACATCTATTTGACAATATAAATGACAAATTGTTTAAATTATTTAGGTTATTTTGTTTAACCTATCGAATAAATCAATTATTTCAGTTTGGTTTGTCACAAATTATTAAAAATGCATGCGCTGAGAGCACACAACAGTATTAGACAAATTGCACACTAATGACTATCAGACTGCACAATAGTGACCGAAATTTCAAAAAATTTATATCTCAGACATAAATAACTTTAGGTAGCAGCATTTACTGTAATACCTTACAATTATGGGTTTATGTATCATATTATTGTTATCATATTATTATAACACTTTTAATATGTGTTATCCAAAATTAGTAAAAGTATCATATAAGTGTTACCAACCTTTGACCTTTAGGTAACACAAACAACTGTAGCGCCAAAATTGTATTACCTATTGTCTATAGTAATATTTTATAGTTTTTACATAATATTTTATAGCTTTTACGTATCATTTATTTGGTGCTACCTAAAACCATTTATATTGTAGTGTTTTTTGATTTTAAAATTTTGATTATTTCGATTCGATGTCGTTTTTTTAAATAATCGAAATAACCGAATCAATTGAACGCAATTAGATTTTTTATGAGGTTTTTTTTAAGACGCAATGAGCAGGGACGAGATTGAGACTCAATCAAGCAGTATAATGACAAAATCGAGCAGCAGCCTTAAGGCTAATACAATAAATACATAAGAGAATAACAAATATCGAATACATACACAACGTATAAAATTTTGTTTTCATATGTTTTAAATGGAGTACTCCCTCCTATTTTTATTATTTGTCATCCTTGCTTAATTGATCATTTGTTAAATAAATGTCGTTTTGGCTATTTTGTACATATTTTTCCATCATTATCCTCATCTAATTAATAAATATACTACTGTCTTTTCATATTCATTCTCCATCTTTTCTCAAAACATTAATCTCTATCCTCATTAATATCCTCATTAATGAGGATTATTATTGATAAAAAAAAAATTAATGATTGTGTAACTTTTTAAAACTACATTTATTAAAAACAAGAAGGAGTACTAATTTTTATTGAAAATTGTGAAAATTGAATAGAAAGTGAAATAATGGGTATGGTTGGGAGGCAGTTCTCAGCAATAAATACGGAGAAAGCTACAGAAATGAGTTTTAAATTTTACAAAACCACCAAAAACGCGATAAGAGCCAAAATATGAATGCATTTGTGGGTTTTGTTTTGGCAGAGCGAGTTGGAAAGTTGGAGCGGTTGACTGTTATTAATGCGACCATTGAAAGCAGAAAGGATTTACGGAAGAGAATTAAGAAAAAGCATTGAAAGGAATGGATGTAAAGAAGTCCAGCTGTGAGGTGTGGGCGTCATGAGTGCGACATTTCAATCGACAAAATGGGCCTAAATAAATTTTTGTACGTAATTTTTATTTTTATTTTCTAGGTTTCTTGGAAAAGGGAATGAATTTAGACGAATAAATTATAATTAAGAACATACACTTTCATAGGAAGTGATATTATTATTTATTTTTTCCCAGGTTCTTTTCTTAAAAAAAAAAAAAAATTGCTGCAAGGGATTTAATTAAGAATAGTCAGGTATTAGTAATACCTGGCTTGAGTCGTGACAAGATAGAAAAATAAAAGAACCGAAAATATTTACTAGCTAGCATCTAAACAAGGTCTATGTAAGTGTGGCTCACCATAGGCTTTTTTGGCTCTTTATTGACATTATACTCGACAAATGGAATTTATTATGTGTTTCTTGGAAAAGTGAATGAAATGAGACAAATTAACATCTTTATGAGTAAATATTATTTGTAACCTTTTATTCTTCTTATTTCTCCCACCCTTTTACACGAAGCAGCACTTTTTGGGTTCTTCAGTATTTCTACTACTACATGGAATATGGTTTCAAAGTCAAAATCTTTAGAGTAGTTGAAATTTCTGAAGTAGTATTAATCCAAAGCATTCTAGATTTTCAGGTATCAGTCTATTCATTTTTGTACACTATTTTATTCTACGAGTAACACTTCTAATCATAATAGAAAATATAATTAAATTTCTATATAAAACCAAATTTTCAGCTATCTAAAAATTGCGTATATACAGGGCCGTCTCCAGAAATTTGGAGGCCCTAGACAAGTTTGTCCTTTTCAAATTTCCCGATTTTGAGTGTGCATGGTAATTAGGCTATTTGCAGATAGAACATAGAAGGGAACAAAAATCTAATTAAAAAAGACTAGTACATAAATAAATAAATAATTGAAAAAAAAAAGTAATTTTTCTTGTTTTTCTAGAGCTTGAAATTGATAAATTACCTATGTATTACAAAGATCTTTAATAATTTACATTCAAGCAATCATGAGAACAACAAAGAGAAGAAAATAAAAACTATATCACTGCAAAGAATATTTTTTCTCACACAATTGTTTTAACCGAACATCAATAAGAAAACAAATGAAATATTTTGGCCTCAAATTTCCACACAAAATACATATTCTGCCATTAGCCCCTTCATTTGCATAATGGGTCAAGGCTATATTTAGTCACGAGTCACTTTATATGTGCAAATAAGCCAAACTCATCACAAATACATAATATTAAAAAAAAGAGCCCCAAATATATTGGGAGGTCCTAGACTGTCTCCCCAAAGAGCCGGCCGGTATATATTAAATGCATTTATGGTATATGTACATAATAAATTATATGTGCATTTTAGCTTTGTCCTTCAACATGTATGAAAATAAATAGATTAAGTAAAGGTTTAGTAATATCTAGATTCTAATAATTTTTAGGTTGACATTTTGGACATGGTGTTAGAATTATGGTAGTCCCACGATGAGGTCATGCTGATTTCCCTTTTG